GTTTGGATACTATAGGTAGTATACTGATTGGTCTGTAGTTATTCTTAATCAATGTATCATCTTCCTTTAAAAAATTGGTGATACGCGTGCTTCTTTAAGAGCAGCTGGGAAGGAGCTGTCTCTTAACATTTCATTTATAATACAAGTAATAGGTTCTACAATGGCTGGTTTTACCTTGTTTAGTACCTTAACAGAGAGGTTATCGAGCCCTGTTGCTTTCTTACTGTCAATTCTTGACAAGTATTTATCTACCTGCCAGGAGCTGATGGGGTTGAAGGTAAGTTTGTGGCCCTGGTTTGCCTTTTCTCGTACCTTCCATACACTCGGATGGCTCGTAACCTCCTGTTCTGACAGGTCTTTTCCGATATTATCAGCTACACTAACAAAAAATTTATTGAAAATATTTGATACGGATGTCTGATCGGATTGTGTCCCATTATTAGTAGTATGAATTAGTAGCACGATTTTACCCAGCGCAGCGGGTACCCGCAGCTAGTATGTATATAAGCGTAAATGTGTAGCGGCGTGCGCCGTGCGTGCGGTGTACCTGTGTGTTGCAGAAGAGCATTTGGCCGGCATTTACAGGTAATTATCCGCAATACTAGGCGAAAGAGAGTAGAGAAACATTAAGACATTGATAGTAAATACATTTCGTGTTTATTCAGCATTGCTTTTTTATTGAAAAGGCTCCAAGCGTCTGTGGTCCGCCTGGTCTCTCGTCACTTTACCCTGTGTTGTGATCACGCTAGGCAGCCTAAAAAAAGCTGTGTGGCTCTCTCTGATACCGATTGCTGCAGTTGACAACACCGCAGGAGAGTGGCGTTGTGATGCATTTGCTTAATAGGCGAATATAAAATGAGCAGAGGTGCGCTGCTCAATGTACTTGTACCATGCCTGAACTGGTTTCTGTATCCGTCAGGGCCGGCGGCGTTGCAGTGTGGGTAATATGAAAAATCGCGGAACCCTCTATAGCGCCACCGCGCAGACATTTATGAAAATAAAAAATAATTTTTAATTTTAATTTGAGATTTTTGTAGTTTTTTTATTTTTTATATTTTTTTGGTCGTCGCGTCGCCGTCGCGTCATGCTGATTCAGAATATATATGGTGTTGGGGTGCCCTCTTACGGGGGGGGGGAGAAGATAGACAGACAGACAGACCGAAAAACAGACTCGCCCTTTATGTAAGAGATTAGGTTCAAATTTTGCCTAACTGGCATGTTTCCTGGTATTTTCATTGAATAAATTAATTTTACTTATTTAAACTTAAAAAACACATTACCCCTAAGTTCTTATGCAGTATAGGCCTACTTAATGTAAACTAAAGTTAAAATTACTTACTGTAATTAAACTATAGGCTAACACGTACAGACTTAGCTGGTCCATAATCCTGCATATATACAATTCTTTAGAGTAAATGTTGTTGTTCTAAATTCACATTGTTTGTTTAACTACTTAGAAATTGTATATATTGTATACATTTTGTTCNTTCGAGATAGTTATCATCACTGTTGTTACTACTGTGACTGACGTTCGGTGAATCGTGTTCAACTGCTGACGAATCGTCTTCGAGATAGTTATCCTCACAGTTGTTACTACTGTGACTAACATTCGGTGAATCGTGTTCAACTGCCGGCGAATCGTCTTCGAGATAGTTATCGTTACAGTTGTTTCTACTGTGACTAGCGTTCGGTGAATCGTGTTCGGCTTCGTCATCCGATACCTGCTCACCATCTGTGGCACTGGTGGTGGGGGGGGCGACATGCCATGCATTGGTATTCAAGGGATGCGTCCTCTGTGTACTGAGTGAACGTAGGGATGTCCATGTTTATACACTTTCTGTGGAGCCATGTTTCACAGGAGTCGCATGCTATGGCTTGTTGATTTGATCTCACACTTTTCAGGCATGTTCCACAGGGATATTTTATGGGTCCAGGGTTCATTTCTACATCCCCTGACACCAGAAGAGCTAGCAGATAAAACAGACGTAGATTTCCAGCTGGGCGGCGCCATCTTTGTTCCTTTGTTAAAGTATAGGTATATCGTTCACATGTAAGACGTGACGATTAACAATGTCAAATTTTACCCATTGGAGCAGTTCTGGGCAGTTGTTCTCCGTGTTGATATTGTAACTGTTGTCTAACCTATTAAAACTTGCTTGATGTTGCGGGGTACGAAATTTTAAAATGGTTAAAATCGAGAAAATGACTAGAGAAAATGTAGCTCCCGTCGAGCCAGCCGCCATCTTGCAACCAACACAATGTAAACAAATTAGTGAAGAACATTCAGTAATTCATTTACACTAAATAAATCACTTGACCTATACGATATGTATAGTTTACAAATGTTGACAAACCGTTATGTATTTTTACATCTGGAGTTATTTATTGTTTGGTGTCATTGTTTACAGAATATACATTCAGGCTGCTATACTCACAGAAGAGTGCCAGGAGTGTTGGAACCTTGTCCTACATACGGAATGCTTATCGGCAAGTTAACGTAAAAGCTGAAGTGTCCCACTGTTTCAATGAAGCGACGGAGCTGTTGAGATTCGCTACAAAAGCTTACATCCTAGCCACATCATTGAGTTTGATATATAACCCTCACCAAAATATAAAAAAGGTTATATGGGACAGAATTATTCGGTCTAGGGTAAATAAACCAATTACAAAAGACTAGAGTGCAATTTTTTAAGCCTACATCATCTATAAAAATTATTTGGATTTGCTGTGACACTTTTGATTGCCATTTAAAGTATTGATGGACTTTGAAATCTCAGGGTTCAAAGGTCTTGATTTCTGGGCCAACCTGCAAGCAAAAATCAAGCGCTATACATTGACTTAATTGTATCTCAATAGTCGGATGCACATTTCCCATGCATATGGATGGTTATGACTTATGACATACAAATGGATTACAAAACATTCAAATTAACCACATATTTTTTTAAATAACAGGTCGTTGAGCAGAAGTGGTGAGAAAAGTGACATTGATAGCTCTCACTTCATGCCACTACCAGCTGAAGGAATGGAAGTTATTGCTTCAGGTAGTACCAGTGAAGCAACTTCAGAAACTTCAGGTAATTGCTGTTTCATTCGATGTTTTTTCCAACGCTTGGTTTTCAAGTGATCGAAATTGTTCGCGCGCGCTGAGGTAGGAGTAGTGACAGGCTGCGTGACACGTGCGCGTTACAGCACATGCTCATATGTCAAACATTAAACTTTGTGGACATAAGGGGTGGGGATATCTTTAGTCTCAAGCTGTGACAGTTGGGACAGTTTGGACTAGTTTTCATTTTAGCTGAAGTTGTTTTAATTATTAATTTTAAAATAAATAAACATTAATACTTAAAAAATTATTAGTTCATACGCAAAAATGTATCATAGCATGTAATGTCAGCATCTCTCTTTCTATCCATGTATAGATACGTATCGTATCGTGACCCTAGTGTATCGGTACACATCTATACATCATGTACACAGTCACTTGATGAACAGTTTGATTCAAACGGGCGTGTTTACCACGCGCGATAAACAACATATTTTTGTTGCTATATAACTATATAACTGTTATCCTCTATCTTGCAGCAACCAAGATTACGACCTGCAAGTCAAAATAGCAGCCATTGACCACAACGCTCATAGTGCCAGAGGCTCGAGACTAGTCAGGGAAGTTGATGTAAGTTTGCATAAAAATACTAACAACTCGGCGAGTAACAACAGCAAATGTTGTTTTTATTGCAAATAACATTTATGATGCATGCATTAAAATTTTGTACATTGATTGTTTTCATTTTTACAAATTTTATGAATTACAGTGTAACAGTACAACTTTCATTAACATTCATTTTACTTAACAGTAACAATAATGTTAAAGAAACAACAAGTATAAATGACATGTCTTTGTAACATTTAAAATAAATAGAAAGTTAATGCTTTGCTGATGAGTAGGTTACAAATTGTTTTTTGCATCTTTCACACTCATTGGTCTAAAGCGACCAAGCAGTGGACGCTGCAATATGTAAAGGTTCCGAAGAAGTACACTTACATACCTCTCCTATTGAGAATGGTACTTACAAAATGCCAAGAACACACCGCACATCGCAGAAGCTGCATTCCCGATGGCAACAGGTTCTACAACTACAATGAAGAACATTGCATCAGCACCGAAGCCGACACAGGAGGAGCTCTACAGGTCATGGGTTCACGCGCTATGGGAAACCGAAAGAATAAATCGCTGCAGAAGTGGAGTCCAGTGTAACGAATCAACTACCAAGCTTTCCAGCCAGAGCAGACACTGACCATGACACAGAGGATTCCACTGATGACAGTGATTAACATGGTAAGTAACGGAAATCTTATGCACACTTTGTATTTTAATTGCATTGTGTATTTGGTCTTAGAATATCTAGTAGTAAGTATAACATGTATATTTACAAAATCTTTCACTTGATACCTCAACAAAAAAAAAGAGTTTTCATGGCGTTTCTAATTTTGATAAAAACTATATATGTAATGCATATAATAATAATATATAATCATACCAGTATGCAAGTGATTTTAGCATTACATAAAAGGCAATGTATTAAACGGAAAATATATCTCAAGGGAAAGGGAAAAGCTTGAGAACTAATTATTTCAAAATGAAAAATAATCGGCTATGTTTAGCAGATACTGCAAACGGTAAAAAAAGTTCATTAAATGACGCTAAACATTGCTGTTTGCTGCAATGTTTATATAAATATGCTGTGCTATTATTTACTTTGAAATAAGTATAATTAATTTCCATTTGTACATTCATTGCAGGAAAAGTGTGCGTCCATAAGCGAACATGATGAGATGTCCATTTTAATGCAACTCTACCTCTGACAGATATGACCAGTAATTTTATCTAGATAATTAAATTATTCATCCAATTTCTCAAACATTCAACAGAGCAATATTGGCTGTAGCTTTATGCTAGAGGGAAGACCTTCTACGCCTTAGCATCTATTACTGTTACATAAGTTGTGTTTCTAATCGAAAGTATGTTGCCGAATAGTGGAAATTGTTCCTACACGGAATCCAGTATATTCCATCCCAGTCACATTCTCCAGTACACAAACTGGCGATACCCTGCATGTCGTATTGCATCATTAGCTCTAACTTCTGGTAGGCACAGAAGATCTTCTCTATAGCACAAAGCTACACTTAATATTGATCTGTGTGAATAGGCCTCCTTTAGTGATGAAAAATAGTTACATATATCAAATTAACTATGCTTTGTACAACTACTAAGAAATATACAGGTTGAATGGTTTTCGGGTGTATGAGAAAAACGCATTTTTTGATGAACACAATGTTAAGAATTTGCGGGAACGCAAAAGCGCCACCTACTTTGGCGCGTGACGTAGTGTGACGTCAGACCAGGCACTCTCGCTTGTTTACCTGTTGCCAAGCGTGTACAATGGAGCCTGTACAATGTACAATGTGAACACCGATTCAGAGTCGTCTCTAGTACTAATAGTCAGTTTCGTACGAATAGCGGATGAGGCAGTACATGCAGCATTAGATAAAGGATGAAATGAAGTAGTCATAGACAATGAAGTTGAACATGGTTGAAAGATAGTTTTGTGTATATTCAGCTGCGTACAGTGTTTTGAAGCCGTTGGCCACACGATAGCCTAGGCCCGAACGCGAGGCTGTGCGAGGATTGTGGCTATAGCGAACAGAGGGAATGGATATCCTAACGCCTACCAATACCGTTTCTTGGAGCTATCGAATTAACCCAAACGGGCAGGGCGCCATGCGTTTAATGGCAACCGCGCCAATTAAGGCAACGTGCGAATGCCTTGTTCAACGTTTCGTTGCCGGAGATGTTCAAGGCGAACGGCTCGAACCGAGCAGAAGGAAGACTGCTGAAGTGGACAGTGTCAGCGTGAATGGTGAGTTTGAGAGAGCTCAGTTTGTTCAATTGGTAGGTCTACTAGGTGTAGCATAATGAGATGTTTTTGGGCTTTCGTAGCAAGCTAATAGCCCGAGACGCAAGTTTTTCGGCAACAAGAGTTATGCAACTGTCAGATTTCACATTCTACAGTAGCTGACAATCCTTTCTAAAGAGAGTACGCCCTCAGTACTACAGTAAGGGCCTGACTAAAGAAAAAGCAAGACGCTGGACAATAGTCCATATAGTAATGTTTTCGCGGTAGTGAATAATAATTACAGGCATAGTAAACAATGTTATTTCACGTGTAATGTGCATTTAGTCTACTTGTATGCGTAATGAGACTCAAGTGTATATCACAAGTACGAAGTTATAATAATCATATATGCATGTAGTGTTTAAACGCTGGAGGTCAGGTCTGTCAACGTAAAACTCACCGGGACGGCTCCACGACACATAACAAATAGAAAGTAGATACCAAAAACGTATGGCGTATGACACTCGTGAGCAGATTTGGCAGGAGCTGACAGTAAAGCAGCGATATGAATACTGGTTCGGACAGTTTGGAACCGATTGTTATTGGAGCATGTGTGAGTATTAATGGTGGTTAATCCGGGGTAGTAAAGTCTACAGATAGGCATATATGTATATATAGTGAATCATGCTCATGGATAATTAATTGTGGCAAGTTGGATGTTTTATGCCCCCAGACTTATAAGTTACAGCCCGCAACTGATCCAGCCTTTGTGCTCATGCAGGCTGAAGTGCAGGCTATTTGGTGTGCGTGCACAATACAGTCGGGAAAGAACGAGAAGCCTGGTCTCCATGAGACGTCCACAGCCGTTTTCCGACCGCCGGGTGGCGCGTTTGGCAGAAGTACTTTGATTTGTCAACATCTCATGAGAGCCAACATAAAGACGCTGTTTTTAAAGTAATCGGACAGAGGGCAACTAAAAAAACCATACATGCTTTGTTTATATTACGCTTATGATACTACGCCATGCAAATAATCTGCTCAGAAAATTAAGAGGCTGGCACAGTTGTACTGAGATATCACTGAAGGAGGGCCTTTAAGGCATACTCTGCGCACGTTGTGCAGTGAAATTTCAGGTCGCATTTTTCGCTGTTTACATAGACTGGTTTGATGGCTAACACTATGTGCCACTTGTGTAGCAGTGTTCATATATCTTCCATGATAGACGTGTACTGTGAAACCGTCAGAGCGTTTTTGCTTGCCCGCGGTTGGTACCCATGTGTGATGTAAAGGCGCATTGCCAGGCGTGCTGACGCTCCATGTATGACGTCAGAGCGTCACATATATGAGATAGACTCATGAGACGAGACGGCCAGGCATTTGCCGGACGATATCATCCTGCTGAGGCTCGAGGTATCGCAATCCAAAACATCAAGAGATAAGCCTCATAGTCAGATAATAGGCGAATATCCCTATCCTGCTGCCTCGCGAACGAACATCAACACCTCGTCTATAAGCTGTACTAGCTACTGAGTCCAGATAAGTATAAGTATGCCCACAAGAAGCCAAAATAAGTTTCTCCAACACCTCTGCAACGCACTTACGATAAGGCGCGCGTTTTGTTGACAGTGACGTCAGGGATATACGAGCCCTTTGAATGAATTTGCGTTGGTTCACCTCCGTATTAAATTTCTCAGAGATTTCTCTAGGTGCATGGAACATTTTACAAATTTAGTGGGTTGTCAGTTAGTCATGATATGTCGCAGTAAGTAACCTAACAATAGATATATTAACACATACGTTCACCCATTTTTGCAGCACAGGACGGTCACTGCATCGTGTGGAAAAATATACATAAAAAGAACAAACGCTTAATTTCTCGCGTTTCTGATTTACGCTGAGCATAGTATCCGATGTATAAAATGGATATTCTCTGTGGATTCAGCACTCCGGATTCATTTAGATTTTACACTCCGTTTAATGGTAACCATAGTTGTGGTGAATAGGAAGTGGCGTCAGGCGATGTGTTATTTAAATTAAGTGCCGTACTTTATTAGTTATGCCTCTTTATTCGCTAAAATTTTCTATTTTAACACACAACTTGATTTTTAAGCAGTTTTGTCCAGTTTTCTCGGTAAATATGGAAATTAAAGAAAAATCCTGACGCGCTATTTTGGTCCATATTGTGCTTAACATGTGGCAAAAATTTTGTATCCTCACTCTTTCTGGTAGTTGAGAAATATCCAAAATACCATTTTTACATAAAAATTCAAAATTTGTGTGGTAACATAATTAGGTGCTGGAAATTTCATAATTTTTTTTGTCTTGAGCATAGAGATATATCTCCTCTATAAATAAAACAAGTGATTGATTCGATTCATTCGCCAATCAACGTTTAATCTTCACTAGAGCAATACCCGTGCACAACGTGGAGAGCTAGTATCCTTAAGCAGATTGTTTGGAAATCCTCAAGCTGGGTAACACATAACCGTGGTGTCTTCTTGCAGCATAGCTGCTCCAACGGTGTGGGCATGTCCACACAGTGCTTACACGCACAAAAGGCATGGGGTTGAGGTTGATGATGAGCTGAAGGGTCAGCTCCGGATCCTGCTACTGCTGTTGTTGCCTTGATTTTTCTTAGGTCGTAGTCGGCTATTGTAAGAAGAGATTTTTCCAGCTGTGGCCTTGTCAATTGCTTGACATACTCCTGAAATTTTTCAATTAGAAAAACTGTACAGTTTATTTGACTTTTATTTACTTCTTTTGTTTTCACAAATTTACCAGAACTTACAGTAATTCGCAGTGATATTTTAAAGGATTTAGAATAGTAACTATAATTTAACTCTAGCGGGCAATGTGTGTCTGTGTTGAATCTACAACGTTTTTAGGCTATATTTGGGTTTTTTTCTTCAATGTTTTCCATTGTTTGTTTTCATAACGACATTTAAATATCACCAGATAACAACTTGGTTTGCAACTTGCATAAATAGTTTGCACTTGAAAAATTAAAAACTAACCTCTGCTGAAGTGCAACTTGTTGACAACTGCTGTGGAGCTCCAGTGTAGGACACACTGGCCTCAGTTTCCTCAAACCTCAAACTCCTGTGAGCCTATAATTAGTAACATGAGTTTTGTTGTAAACACAGGTGTAACTGCATGTTTTTTACACAAACTTGGTTTTTTGTGCATAATAAAATATATTTCTAATGAAATTCCCAACTATTTATTTCTGTTTTTTAATTGCACAAAACCTAGTGTTAAGCTGTGGACACACTACACGATTTTCCAGGCGATAGAGTTGCCCGACTCAGTGGACACACTAGGCGATTTTCAGCGCGATTTATCGGCGATTCATCTCGCGCCACCTAGATTGATCACTAGATTCAGGGTTCTCCCTACGTTGCGCAAACCGGGCGCGCCTGCCCCGTTTAGAGAAACTCCGCCCCGTTTAAATTACCTCTGCCCCGATTAAATTCTACCACAATAAAAGTTTGACAGCGCGGGAACCGATCGTCAAGAATTCCCATTCGACCAGGACCACCGACGCGTGTATTTTTACCGTACGGTAAAAAAACACGCCCCCGGACCCCCCTAGCTTCCCTTCCCTTTCCCCCTCCCCTCCCCCTCCCCCCTGTTTCAATTTCATCCTAGGGAGAACCCTGAGATTGATAGTCACATGATTGAAAATGGCACCATTTGATTGGCTGATAAATCGTACATTCGGGCGCGCGAAGAAGAGCATTGTATAGTATCGCATTGTTCAGGCGCGCATTGTATATAGTCGTGCGACTCAAATAATCACCCGATTTCATCAAACATGTTTGATTCGGGCGACTCAGTTGCCCGACTCAATCGCCTGAAAAATCGCCTAGTGTCCACAGCTTTATGTTACTCACCCGAGGTTTCTTTTCCCTAATGTGATGCTTCTTAAATTTTCTCTTCTGTGAAAAGCAATATCACATGTTTACTAATACTACAAACTGAATGTATAAGTTGACAGCATGTTTGTTACTAGAATCAGTTGATGTGTGCTTCGCAATGCAATTGACTCCATGTTATAATATAAGAGACAGTTTTGATTTTTAATGAATGATTTCTAGTTATTATTACATCACCATCGATTAGAGTCTAACAGTCTGTTAATTAGGAAATATAATTGGCCGGGGCTACGCGACCGGTTCTGGACATTCATCTCACACAGTGTGCAGATCTTGCGATACGTACACGCATGATTGCGCAACGCCAACGGGACGCTCAGCTGATTGCTGTGTGTGTGTGCGCGCGCGCGCGTGCGTGCGTGTGAGAGAGAGAAAGAGATAGGTGTGTGCGTGTGCGTGTGTGTGTGAGAGAGAGACGCGCACACACACACACACACACACACACACACACACACACACACACACACACACACACACACACACACACACACTAC